ATTTCTTCACTTGATATTTGGGTTTCTTGCGGTTTGTTCTTGGAGATTTGGTTCACTTATTTTGTGAGGTATTTTCCTCTTGTGATTTACACCTTGGTGTGTTTGTAAGGCTTATGCCTTTTGGCCACTTTGTAATCTGATTTGGTGATAGTGGAAGAAACTGACCTACCGGTCGTCGTGGATGTACCTCAAGTTATTTGAGGGAACCACGTAAATCTTGTGTGCTTATTTATTTTCTGTTATTTTATTTATATTGCTTCCATTGATTTACACTTGGGAAAACCTATTTTCCCAACAGGACACACACCCACTGGTGAAATTACGTCCCTCTGACTCTGAGCCAGTAATCAATGCCAAATCGTCTTAGCCGATGACTGTGAACTTATTTGCGTCGGAGAAGCTGTATGGGCTTGAGCTTAATAAATTGGTCCAAGCTATGTATTCATGGGTCAACGCACCCAATCGGTCATAGCACTTGTTAGCCACGACGTTGGTAATGCGAACCTGGGAGTCGGATATGTCTCGAACCTCAACGCCACCTATGAATGGCTTGGGAGGGTTGAAAGAAGTGTTGCAATTGATCTCAAGCCAGCTGTCAATGGCGCAACCGGTTCCAATCCCAAATGGGTATGGGACGGTGATGTTGCCGCATTGGCGTTGGCAGCGGGGTTTGGTGATGTTGGCGCCTTTACTGATCATGTACGTGCTGCTGCTGCAGGTGGTGGAGGGGTTTGTCTGGGATGTGACCAAAGTGAACATGGTCAATCCATAAAAACATAGCCAGCCAAGAAGCCGAAGCATTTTTTTGTGCATTTTGATGTATGGGCATAGAGATAATGTGCCAACCATTAATATAGACCACCTTTTTTTTTCGATNCTGTGCATTTTGATGTATGGGCATAGAGATAATGTGCCAGCCATTAATATAGACCACCTTTTTTTTTTCGGTAAGTAAGCAAATATCATATAAACAAAAAGGAAACATGTACACATGTGAAACAAAAAGGGATGGAAGATCTTTTTAAAGCAAGAAAAGAAGATCCTCCATCCCCATGGCACAATAAACAAAGAAAGGAAACAATGCATATTCCAAAGGGGACTGAACAGCCACTGTGCTGTGCACGTGAACAGTACAGGAGACAACAGCCCAGAACACAGCAGAATGGCCAGCAGAAATGCACAACTCCAGTTGAAATCCAGCTGAAAGAACAGAAGAAAAAATCGGCTGGAAGCCACAAAAAAAACAGCAAAGCAGCAACATAACTGTGCACGTGAACAGTGCCTTCAGACAGCCGCAAAAACCCGCTGCAGACCATGACACCATCAATAGCAATCAGAATGCAATTTCTTCCAAGAATGCCCAAAAATACAGAATCAGACCCTCCAATCCAAGGAGCAGCAGCAAGAAAGAAAGGAGCAAGAAGCACCCAAAACAACAGGATGTTGGGATTTCTCACGATTTAAATCCACTAACAAACACACACAATCGAAGAACAAATCAAGAATATAAAGCAATAACAAACAAGAAAGAACAAGACACAGATTTTACGTGGTTCGACAATTTGTCTACATCCACGAAGCTGCAGGGATTTCACTATTGAGAGAGTTGAATACAAAGAACGGCTGTAGCATCCACACTTAACCCTAATCACCAAAACAACAGGGTTTATATGTCCTACGTACTGGGCTGTATAACGGGCCCAAAAAAATTTTTCATGAGCGCTACGGCTTGTCCATGAGCGCTACGGCTTTTCCCCCGAACCCCCACGAGGCTTGTCCATGAGCGCTACGGCTTGGGCCTATCGGCCCAAGCCTTCGCTCCATGGACTAAGCCTCAGAAAATTTTCCATTAAAAACCACACAACATTATTTTGGGTCGGGTCATCATCCGGATCACATATACAAACTAGACTCCATAAAAATAAACCAACACAGGAAGCCTCCCAAGAGACAAGGGATCCAGCAAGCCCAAGCAGCAGCAGCACAAGACAACACCAGTAATACGCCACAAGCCCACAGGTGGAAATGCAGCAGAGAAATGCAACAAAGGAAGAGGATCCACCACCGGTGGAAATGCAGAAGGACAAAATAGCAGCTGAGAAAATCCAGCAAGGCTGGTCAGCAAGACATGAAATGCAGCAGAGTGGTAGGATCAAATGCAGCGAAGGAATGAACCAGCAAATGAAGTACCAAACAGCAGCACCAACACATCATCAGTAGCAACATCAACACATCCACCAAAGACATAGCATCTTCAGTAGCAGCCTTCAGAAGAAGCACAGCAAACCAACCCGCCAGTGCCAGCAGACCGTAAACAGAGCAAACAGAGGATGAACCACCGCAACATTGACACAAAAGGAGAAAATGAAACAGACGGGCCACAAGCAATCCACTGAAAGGCCATCACCAAAGAACAACTACTTACAGTGTTATGAAAAAATATTGTCAGGCAAGCCCCATTGTCTTTGCAACCATGCATTAGGATTGTTCCTTTTGATTCCACAGCAGGCATGAAGCTTGAGTCTAACATTTTCCACAATCTTCTTACAAATGGATACCACATCTCTATAGGAGTTTTTAAACACCCTGTGATTCCTCTGCCTCCAAATCATGTAAATTGAAGACCACCTTACTAAGCTAAAAAATGCTATGTCATTGACCAGAATGTGCAGTTATGTCATGTCCATATATATCCTCCATATATTCTGGTATATAATTGTATAAATAAATACTTAAAGATACTAACAGAGCTTATTCCGTCCCCCCCCCCCTCCTCTATATATAGGGGTAGATTAGTATTGCAATGAATAACTAACTATTAAAATTTCTCAGATTAGCCTTTTTTCCCCCTTTATTTATATACTAGTAGTTGTCCATGCCTGAAGGCACGACGTAACAAACAAAAAAATCAAAAGCAAATATGTGTACATTAAAAGATTGTATTCAAGAAAAAATTATCAATTAGAAAAACTAAGAAAAAACATTGATAAATATAATATGAACCCATTATTTTAAAAACAAAAAATTGATAGAATACAAATCAAAATAATCTCAAATATTGTTCAATGACANCCTCCTCTATATATAGGGGTAGATTAGTATTGCAATGAATAACTAACTATTAAAATTTCTCAGATTAGCCTTTTTTTTTCCCCTTTATATATATACTAGCAATTGTCCATGCCTGAAGGCACGACGTAACAAACAAAAAAATCAAAAGCAAATATGTGTACATTAAAAGATTGTATGCAAGAAAAAATTGTCAATTAGAAAAACTAAGAAAAAACATTGATAAATATAATATGAACTCATTATTTTTTTAAAAAAATTGATAGAATACAAATCAAAATAATCTCAAATATTGTTCAATGACAGTTTAATTATTGATTGATATCCAAATGGTAGTAAATTCAAAAATCATTGTGGTATAAAAACAATCAAATAAATATGAAATAGAAAGAAAGGAAGGGGGGATTAAGAGATGAATTGCAACAAAAAATATAATAAACTATATCAACAAAACTTAAATCAATTAAAATTAAATTTTTAATACTCTATCGGGTTAAATTACACTTTTTATCCTCATAGTATGTTGATAGTTTAGAGAATGTTCGTGCCTCTAAATATAATATTTTTTTCTATTCTTCCAAACAATTACAGCTTAATTCTCTCTTAAAATAAGACCCTATAAAAATATGAAGATGTGCAAACCTTATCAAGTAAAGATGTTTTTCATATATCATATTTAAACATATTCGTGGAGAGATAACATGTCATCAATGGAAACTGGTTTTGATCAAATTTTCATGATTAAATCCAACTACGCTAATATTATTAAATTGAGAAACTAAATACATAAAATTTGAGTCCTATAAAAAATTCAAGAAAAATCCTCTAAAAACACATCNATAGTTTAGAGAATGCTCGTGCCTCTAAATATAATATTTTTTTCTATTCTTCCAAACAATTACGGCTTAATTCTCTCTAAAAATAAGACCCTATAAAAATATGAAGATGTGCAAACCTTATCAAGTAAAAATGTTTTTCATATATCATATTTAAACATATTAGTGGAGAGATAACATGTCATCAATGGAAACTGGTTTTGATCAAATTTTCATGATTAAATCCAACTACGCTAATATTATTAAATTGAGAAACTAAATACATAAAATTTGAGTCCTATAAAAAATTCAAGAAAAATCCTCTAAAAACACATCTATATAGAACTATTACCACTAATACCACAATTAAAATTATTACCACTTAGCCTAAATTTTGATAACTAATCAAATTTTGTGTTCAAATTGAAATTAAATCTAACCAAGTCAACTATTTAAATTAATTTTGCTATTCAATTCAAACCAAATTCCATCAACTAAGTTAATTTTATATTGCACAAATTTGTCCCAAGAGCTTTACCCCACCGCNTCATCAATGGAAACTGGTCTTGATCAAATTTTCATGATTAAATCCAACTACGCTAATATTATTAAATTGAGAAACTAAATACATAAAATTTGAGTCCCATAAAAAATTCAAGAAAAATCCTCTAAAAACACATCTATATAGAACTATTACCACTAATACCACAATTAAAATTATTACCACTTAGCCTAAATTTTGATAACTAATCAAATTTTGTGTTCAAATTGAAATTAAATCTAACCAAGTCAACTATTTAAATTAATTTTGCTATTTAATTCAAACCAAATTCCATCAACTAAGTTAATTTTATATTGCACAAATTTGTCTCAAGAGCTTTACCCCACCGCCACTCATCCATCACAACTTCGAGATTAACTATCATCAATAAGATCACCACAATTATTACTTCCAAACCTAAAACATATCTTCAGCAATCATCGATACCGCTTTGAGAAGATGAACTTACTTTTAACTATAATGCAAGCCAAATAATGCATCAAATTGGTAACAAATCAAATGAACTGTAAGACATAACTCGTGTCTAAAAGTATGATAGAACAAAAAATTTGAGTCTTAAAAAATCGATATAACTATATTAAATAATAGTTTTTATTTCCTCCATTTATTTGATTAAATCATTCAAAATTTATTTTTATCCATCATTTTCTTAAAGATATTGACAAAATGTTTTTTAAAATATGTAATTTGATAAATATTTTTAACAGATCTATACTATCGTGTATGAATAATATCTAAAATAAAAATTATGTTAAATTACAAATTAATCAAATATTATATAGTTGAACATGTGATAGAAATGAGTGATGTGATGATTTTGGAGGGAAAAAATGTATAGGGGATAAAATTCAACTTTCTATGTATTTTATTATATAAATTTGTATAGATATAAGAGAAAATTTCATCTAGATCCCCTGTAGTTTAGTCTAAATTTAATGACACCTCCTTCTGATTTTAAAATTTCACTATCACTCTCTGTTAGTGATTGTCGGGTTACACCGTTAATGGTAATGGTTGATTTATAGAAATATCCCCGAGTATTTTATAGGGTAAATTTTATCCACACCCATTATAAATAAACATAACTTTAACAACATCCCCTATAAATGGACATAATTTTAACAACACTCTCTCTTAATTCTGAAATTTCAGTACACTTCTTTTTAGTTCTATTATATTAGCCTTTATTTTGATCAATTTAATATTCAATTTTATGAAATTAATTTTTTTTATTTAATTTAAACTAAATTAATATTTCATCTCATCAAATTAACACAAAATTGATATTTAATTTTATCAAGTTAGCACTTAGTTATATTAATTTAACATTTCATTTCATCAAATTAATATTATTTATNAATATTCAATTTTATCAAATTAATTTTTTTTATTTAATTTAAACTAAATTAATATTTCATCTCATCAAATTAACACAAAATTGAAATTTAATTTTATCAAATTAGCACTTAGTTATATTAATTTAACATTTCATTTCATCAAATTAATATTATTTCTTTAATTTAATATTAAGTTATTAATTTATCAAATCAACATCAAATTGACATTCAATTTTATTAAATTAAACTATTTAATTTATTAAATAGAATATTAAATTCTATTAATTAAAAATTTAACCTTATCAAATTAATGTCATTTTTTTTAATTTAACACCAAATGAACATTCAATTTTATTAAAATAACATTCAAATTTATTCAATTAACATTAAATTCAATCAAATCAATACTAAATTAATATTTAATTTTATCAAATTAAAACTAAATTAATATTTAAATTTATCAAATTTATTCAATTAATATTAAATTTTTTCAAATAATTTATAATTTGATATTTGAAGTATGATGTGTAAGGAGCAGTCGGGCGACCTTGTGGAGAACATATGATAACAGATGACTTAGAAATGGATGAGATTCTGACATTGACTTTATCGATTGTAATTTTTATTATAAAAAAATTATTTTTAACTATATAAATTATTATGATAAGAAAATATAAANTAAATTTATCAAATTTATTCAATTAATATTAAATTTTTTCAAATAATTTATAATTTTATATTTGAAGTATGATGTGTAAGGAGCAGTTGGGCGACATTGTGGAGAACATATGATAGCAGATGAATTAGAAATGGATAAGATTCTGACATTAACTTTATCGATTGTAATTTTTATTATAAAAAAATTATTTTTAACTATACAAATTATTATGATAAGAAAATATAAAAATTATAAAAACTTGATTATGTAATCAAATGAGTGATAATATGACGACTAATATTATAACAAAGTTATAATACAATGTTTTCAAATAAAAAATTCATTGGGATAATATTATGATTGAAATTACGTTTGTTGACTGGCTGACGACTATATAATGGGAAAAGAATTGATGACATTTTAGGTCATTTACATAATAAATGGTAATTTTAGTATTTTTACAAAATATTTAATTAAATCATTATTTTATATACCGATAGAGAAAAAAGTTATTGTTATAGGGGTTTTTCATTGAATTTAGACTCAACTACATGATGTTTAGATGAAATTTTTTCAAGATATAACATGTAGATATAATATGTCTTCAATCTTTGTACTATATATATCTACAGTAAGAGATATATGTGATATGAACAAT